GATCCATTGACATGACACGTCGTCCCGTATTTACCATTGTTTTGTCTTCTCGCTTTGGCTTGTTGGTTACCTTCATTTTATAAAGAGCATGAAAAGGCAAATTTAAGGGAAATTATTATTATAATTTTTTTTGTAACTTAAAAAAACCAATAAGCAATAAGTGAGACAAAAACCTAAAATTCCCATTCGATGATTAATTTGAATCTTTTAATTATATTTAATTATTTTGAGAGACGTTTTATGGCATTTATTTCAGGAATAAACCTGTCAGAAACTTGGATAATGCATAGTACTTAATCCCTGTTGTACTAAAAACTTAATTAGGAGGAATAATTCAAGTCCAGATAAATCTTAATGATCCTGGGACCCCACAATTAAATTTGTCCTCTGTAGAGGGCATTCACTTTTACATGTCACTGGTTTACATCCTGGACTTTACTACTGTAAAATAAAAAAAATCAAATAAATAAATACAAATAGTTTTATGTTTTTGAATTCTCTTTGACATAAACATAATAAATACATATATAAAAAATAAAATTAAAATAATACAAATAAAATAATTTTGATGTTTTTGACATCTGACTAAAAATATATAATATAAAAAATAAAATATTGTTTTTTTTCATGTTTTTGACATCTCTTTGACATAAAATAATACAAATATAACAAACAAACAAATGACTACATAAAATGATAACAAATATTAAAATAAAATAAAATAATAAAAAAATTTTGGCATCTGTCAGTAGCTATGTTTCCATCCACCTATTTTTATGCACATTTTGGATTATTGCATAAAAAAACCGCTGGATGGAAACTGCGCATAAAAAACGTATGCGCACAATTGAGTAGGATAAACTTTTTATCTGATAAGAAAAAATGTCATGTGAGACGGTTATGAGATGAGCTAAATTGACTAATCAGCGGACCGATTTTGTTCACAGCATCTATATGTTGTTTTGGTCGTTCTGAAATGCCTGAGGAAAGTCTGTCATCAAAGTATTTCTGCATAATTACTGTCTTACATGACTGCGTTCAGGCATCCACCTCTAAAAGCAATGACCGCATTTATTATGTTACGTCTGCTCTCTCTGAAGCACAAGTAATTTATTACATATGACAATTATTATATTCAGTGGCTTCTCCTAGTTTTCTTAGAGATATTTAGTGCCAGTTTATCAGCAAGTGACGATTTTGTTCTCTTTGACTCGTTGGATGGAAACGGTGCTTTATTCGCAAATGTTTTATGCGATATTCTAGTTTTGCTCACAAGTTAAATTTGCATCTTTGGATTGAAACATAGCTAGTATGACGGCTGCATGTCACGTTTGAGGATCTCTTAGAGAGCTGAACCAAGTATGTTTTCTTGTGAGCAAACATACCTGCTGTCTCTACATTTCACATTCTTCTAGCCTTTGGCTTTCAGAGGCTTAACCGACTGAAAATATATATATTCAGCTGGGTCACAGCACCATTAGGAGAGTAATCTCAGTCAACAGAGAAAGGCTTTTTACAGATATACTACAAGTGAAGAGTAGAAAGTGTCTACATCAGGCAGTCCACATATGTAGCCGTAATTACTGTTAGTGGTATTGGCAGAACAAGAGCAGCAGTAAACAATATCAGCACTCCTGTGTGCAACATGGATGAGTCTGCCCATATGTCCACAAACACCAAGTAATCTGTGGGGCTTGGGTCGTGTGTGTGGTATGAATATAGCCTTGGCTGGGGAAGAGACTGTCTCTTTTAAACTAAACCGATGAGTTCATTTATGTAATGTGGTAGTACAGCATCAGCACCTGGTCAGCAGGTGGGGCTAGTACACTGTTTGGGCTGATTATTGACCAAGCTGACAGTCAACAACTTCAAGTAATAATGACCACTTCATAAATATTACAAATGGCTGTAACGATCAACTGATGATGTGTCAAGCCAAATTGGAGCTATTAATGGAAGAAAATGGTAATTGGTGTTTGAAAAGATGGAATTAAATACCAGAATGGAGCCAGACCTGAATGTCAGTTTGCAAAAACAATACCTAAAAAAAGGCTAATTCGGCTAATGGTTAACATTACCCGATAGCCCATTCGGCCTAAGCTACATCACTGCACAATGTAATGCGAACATAGGGCCATGTACCATGTAAACATTATGTAGGTTTCAGAATTGAAGGCATGTGTGACAAGAAACAAAACACAAAAGAACACAAAAAAAC